TGGGATTTTCTCTGTATTTGGGATTTCCTGCGGGTTTGGGATTCCCTCCCGGCTGGAATAATTCCGGGCTCATTTGCATTCCGAACCTCGCAGGTATTTTTGGCTCTTCCCTCTCCTCGGGTCATTTCAGCTGCCGCTGCTCCCCCGGAGCTGCGAATTCCTCCATTCCCGGCTTTTTAGCAATTCCCGATTTTTTAGCAATTCCCGGTTTTTTTTAGCAATTCCCGGTTTTTAGCGCCTCTTCCCTGCTTTTCATCCCGATTTTCCCCTCCCGGCCCGCCCTGCCCCGGGGCCCGCCCTTATTCCTGTGGAATTGTTTAAATTCCCATTTTTTTGGGGCAGGAAAAGGCGATTTTGGGATCTTTATTCCTGTGAAATTCTTTTAATTCCCACTTTTTGGGGCAAGAAAAGGGGATTTTGGGGTCTTTATTCCTATGGAATTGTTTTAATTCCCACTTTTTGGGGCAGGAAAAGGCGATTTTGGGGTCTTTATTCCTGTGAAATTGTTTTAGCTCTCCCATTTTGGGATCTTTATTCCTGTGGAATTGTTCTAATTCCCACTTTTTGGGGCAGGAAAAGGCAATTTTGGGATTTTTATTTCTCAGGAATTGTTTTAATTCTGACCTCTTGGGTCAAGAAAAGGGGATTTTGGAATATTCATTCCTATGGAATTGTTTTAATTCCCACTTTTTGGGATTTTTATTTATCCAGAATTAATTCCCACTTCTTGTGTCAGTGAAAGGCAATTTTGGGATCTTTATTTTTCCGGAATTGTTTTAATTTCCACTTTTTGGGATCTTTATTTCTGCGGAATTATTGTAATTCTCACTTTTTGAGGCACGAAAAGGCGATTTTGGGATCTTTATTTCTCCAGAATGAATTCCTACTTTTTGGGTCAGTAAAAGGCGATTTTGGGATTTTTATTCCTGTGGAATTGTTTAAATTCTGACCTCTTGGGGCAGGAAAAGGCGATTTTGGGATCATTATTTCTGTGGAATTGTTTTAATTCCCACTTTTTGGGATCTTTATTTCTCCAGAATTAATTCCCATTTTTTGAGGCAGGAAAAGGCGATTTTGGGATCTTTATTTCTCAGTAATTGTTTAAATTCTGACCTCTTGGGGCAGGAAAAGGCAATTTTGTTATCTTCATTTCTTTGGGATTGCTGTCATTCCCACTTTGGGATCCCCGTTTCTTTGGGATTGCTGTCATTCCCAATTTGGGATTTTCATTTCTTTGGGATTGCTGTCATTCCCA